AAAAAAAAAAAAAAAAAAAAAAAAAAAAAAAAAAAAGAAAAGAAAAGAAAAACAGCAACAATGTGTTGAAGGTTGGAAATCAGATAGATGAGCGGAGTGGATATAGGCTCTGCAGTGCTGACTTGTAAACCCGTAATGGAAAAAGCCACCGATAGCCTGAGTTGGAATCGGTAGTTTCAGGTACCTGCGGAAGTGGAGGTGAAAGGAAATCTGAAATAAGTTCGTCTGGAACAATCCAAGTACTAGGTCTCTGCTCTCTCCCCAGCTCCAGAGACTAGAAGTTTATTCTCTGGAGAGAATGACAGAGTGTCCCTGAAGTGCAGGGACCCTTGACAAAGTTGGGAGAGAGGGAGTTGTTGTTTAAGACAGTTACGTGATACTTTGTACCCCGAATGCTGAGAACACTGCCTGGTCCGCTCCTTTGGCTCTAAGAAGAGGGGAAGCCAGGTATGCCTCCAGGTTGGAAATGTGGGGGTCACACAAAGAAACCTAAATATGCAAACATGAAAGGCCTCCAAATCGAAGCCACCCAAAGCATCCTCGTCTGCTCGTCTCATAGCAAAGGTTGGGACATTTCCTCCCTCCTCATAGAGCTGATAACTGGAGTTTTAGGGTCCCACTCTTCCACAAAAGCAGGCCAGAAAGGAGTTGCAGAAACCTGAGAAAATACTCTAAAATGAGATAGAGACACTCAAACTATAGTAGAAAAAGAAAAGCAACTTGGAAAAACAGAGATTGTACAGAGAGATTTCAACCAGAAAAGCAAAACTAATAATATCAGTCAGGAAGGAACAGGTGGTATTGCACCCCGGAAACAAGCATAGGGTGTTTGAAAAGGAAGTCATAGAACAACAACGGCAAAGAACTGGTGGAAATTAAGAATACAGGAGGAAAAATGAAAAATTCAGTAGAAAGGTTGGAATATAAAGCTGAAGGAACATCTTGGAAATCTGAGGGAAAAGATAAGAGATGGAAAAGGGAAAACATTTTTTAAAAAAAGTTAGGGACCAACTCAGGAGGTAGAAAATCCAAATAACAGAATTTCCCAAATAAAAGAACAGAGGAAATTGAGAAAAAGAAATGATAAAATAAATTTTAAAACTTTGCTGGGTGCGGTGGTGCATGCCTATAATCTCAGGACTTAGAAGGCTGAAGCAGGAGGATTGCTATGAGTTTGAGGTCAGCCTGGGCCACAAAGTGAGTTCAAGGTCAACCTGAACTACATAGTGAGACCCTGTCTCAAAAAAAATTTTTTTTTTAATTCTCACTACAACCGGGAGTGGTGGCACATGCCTATAATCCCAGCACTTGGGAGGCTGAGGCAGGAGGATCCTTGCAAGTTCAAGGTCAGCCTGGGCTACAAAGTAAGTTCAAGACCAGCCTGAACTGCATAGTAAGACCCTGTCTCAAAAAGACAAAAAACCAAAACAAAACAAAAACAAAAAAACCCCTCACTACATTAAAAGACAGAGGTTTCCAGATTAAGGGGACATATGTATTAAGCTCCTAGAGCAATGAATGAGATAGGGCATGCTGGCCCACACCTGTAATCCCAGCACTCTGAGAGGCTGAGAAAGGACGAGAGCAATTTAGAGTCCAGCCTGGGCAACTTAACAAGATTCTATCTCAAAATAAAAAATAAACCAATCACTACATATCATGGTGAAATTTTAGAATTTCTGGGGTGGAGTGAAAATTTCATAAACTTTCAGAAAGAAAAAAAATCACAGCAGAGGATCAAGAGTCAGATGATACAAAGTCAACACTCAAAAATTGATAGCATTCCTGAAGACAAATAGCAAACTCATTGAGAGAGAAATTAGGGAAACATTGCCTTTCACAATAGCATTCCCCCCCCCCCCCCCAAAAAAAAAAAAAAAAAAAAAGCATGAGGCCCTGAGTTCAATTCCTGGCACCAAAATTAATTAATTAATTTTAATTAAAATAAAGTGCAACTGTACTTAAAAGTGGGCAATGAGAAACATCTGTCTGTCCTCTGGTGGAGTTCATTCCTATAGCAGAAGGCTCACAGATAGTGCCTAAAATTTAAAAAATCCACACAGAGATTGGTGATATTGAGACTTATGGAAAAAAAATACACAAAAATTTAGCTAAAGGAGTTGGGCATGGTGTCTCACGCCTGTAATCCCAGCACTCAGGAGGCTGAGGCAGGAGGATCATTGCAAGTTCAAGACCAACTTGAGCTACAGAGTGAGTTCAAGGCCAGACTGAACTGCGTAGCGAGACCCTGTCTCAAAAGGACAAAACAAAACAAAAAAAGTTAGCTAAAAAGGAGAAAAGCTGCTGACTTTAGAGCAGGGAAAGGGAAGGAAGAAGATAAGAACTGCAAGATTTTATCTTCACATACTTTATACAGCAAATTGATTCTGTATGTGAGTGTAAAATGTTGGCCAAAAAGTTGAAGTTATAAAGTCCAAAAAGGATGGGGGAGCCAGGCATGCTGGCCCACACCTGTAATCCCAGCACTCTGAGAGGCTGAGAAAGGACGATAGCAATTTAAAGTCCAGCCTGGGCAACTTAAAAGACTCCATCTCAAAATAAAAAATAAAAATGAGCTGGGGATGTAGCTCAGTGCAAAAGGATTCAATCCCCAGTTTAAAAAAAAAAGATATGATTAAATGGCATTGGAGCTGGGGGTATAGCTCAGTGGCACAGCGCCTGCCTAGAAAACTCAAGTTGTGAGTTCAATGCCCGATGCCAAAAAAACCGCATTGGCGTAAATGGAGCTGGAAGAGAGAAGGATGGATGGAGACTCACTCAGGGAGGAAGGAAAGTGGTTGGAGGTGAAGGGCTGGAAGGAAAACTCTGAAAAGAGAGGTGAAGTGACTGACAGGTGGAAAGGACATGGGGGATCCAGGCTGGACGTGCTCGGGAGAGGCACTCACCGGGGCCTCAGACATGAGCACCGGGTGCAGGTTCGGCTCGGACTTGACATGTTTGCTGTAGGTGTGGTCCAGGATAGCTCGGAAGCACTCCCAGTCCTCGACTGGGGGCAGCAGGCCAGGGTGGAGAGATGCAGGTGAGCAGGCAGAGATCAGAGACAGGAAGGAAAAGAGTCCAGGGGATGGTGAGTCCTGATCCCTCAGAAAAACCCCTCACTTCCGAGAATGTGGTGGACCCCGTGCTGGGAAGCGGGCAGCTGTGGGCAGCCATCAGGAGGTTCCGGGGGCTTGGGCAGCTGTGAGAAAGCCTCAGCGTGTGTGGGGTTGTGTCGCTGGTGGTGAGGGGCGGGCTCTGGGACCCTGGCAGGAGCGGGGAGAGGGCTTACTCATGCCATTCTTGAGGGGGGACATGACCTCTGCTCCATCCCGGGGCACGTGCAGGGCGTTGGTGTCAATGTGGAAGATCTTCCCTTTCTTCTCTTTCTCCCCCTCCAGCTCCAGCCCGCCTCCCTCCTCTGCGGCCAGCAGCCCCACTGTGGTGGGGAAGTCTGCCTGGGGATAGGAAGGACGGAGAGGGAGGAGATCACCTTGCTCCCATCCTGTGGGTCCAGTCCCGCGCTGGGCTCTCTGCCTGCCCCCTGGGTTCACTCCCACAGCCTCCCCCCCGACCGAGCAGAGCTTTGGTGCTGGGCTGAGAACCCGGGATCACGGTAAGCCTAGTGGGAATCTAGCGCTCCTACGATTTGGAGGAGGGTCTGGAAGGCTCACCTTGGGACAGTCCTCCCCAGCGTACCCAGCGCGGACCGAGAAGGAGCCAATGTCAAAGACCAGCGCCCCCACTTCATCTGTGCAGGGAGACAGGTGAGTGAGGGGACCACCCCCCAACTCTCCCCCTGGGTAGCTTCCAGGGGAGCTCGGGGCACAGCCAGTCTCTCCGTCTTCAACAGTGACCCGGCCAAATGGGTGCTTGACCTGGAGTCCAGGGTCCTGGTAGTGGAGGGGCCAGCCACCACAGTCCCCTCTGCCCGGTGGCCCTGTTCAGGCCACACTCCTAGCGGCCAGGAAGGGGCCGGGGGGCTGGGCGGCGGTGGGTTGAATGATGGACATGCGGGACATCCGGGGAAGACCGAAGGGGAAGACCGAAGGCAGCAGAGGTGACACGAGACCCAAATCTGGGGCTGACCCGCTCCGGTGCCGAGGTGACAGGCCCCAGGGTGCCCAGCTTGGGTTGCGCGGGTTCAGGGCTCAGGGCCGCGGGGGAGGCCGCGGGGGCCAGGAGCGCGAAGCGGGAGGCTGGCTCACCTCCGCCGTAGACGCCCCCGCTCATAGTGCCCTCTGGACGCTGCTCGCGGCCCGTGGGCGGCGACGGGATCAGCACCGAGGCGGCCGGACAGCTCCCGGGATCCCGGGCGGGGCGGGGCACGCGTCGGCCAATCGGAAGGCCGGATTCCCCGCCCCCAACGGTACCACCGATTGGCTGCCAGGAGAGACAATAACCCGGCCGGGGGCCGCTGTTTTAAAGAGGCAGACTCCACGTTGGGCGGCAGAAAGCACACCGAAAGGACAGACAGTGGCTCTAGGGTATAGGCGGCGAAGAGTAGAGCAGGAAAAGGACCCAGACCGTATTCACCCGAGGCCAGGACTCCGCAGAGTGACTGATGAGCTCCCCCATCTGCTGCCCGCCCCCCAGTATTGGGTATTGAACACACAGCCTCGGTATTGAGCTACACTCTCAGCTCCTTTATTTATTTTTTTTATTTTATTTTTATTTTTTGAGACAGGATCTCACTCTGCAGTTCAGGCTGGCCTTGAACTCA